TCAATTATAAGAATGCCTTTAAATCTAAGGTGAGGCAGGCGTTAAATATGATAAAAGAAGACTGGTGCGAATCGAAATAGGAGTAAACAGCACAAAAGAATTAAGAATTAAACGCAGGTTCCCACCATTGCGCATACCATGCCTTTTGACTGGATTTAGTTTTACATGCTTTTTAGCGGACAGCATGACAATTTCGGGAATGCTACTATTTCGACTCCATTGCACTGGTCTAGCCAAATGCAGAGTAAGAACAGTGTTGTGATCCCTCCATCACATTCTCTAAAAAGGTTCAATTTGTGACAGAAAAAACAACTATCATACCTTTGCCTCGATACACCTCGGTGAAGCAGCAATTCCTCTGCTAGGTACTTCACAAGTTGCTCTGGCATGTAAAGTGGGTGCACCTAAAACACATCTGCATTTGAGGCTCAGGATATCGAATCTAAAATCAACGTGCTATCGTGCTAGACCAATAACGGGTTAAAGATTATGTTCCTCTCTGCCGTAGGATATTTCATTTATGGCCAGAAGGAGCCTCAATTTGAAGTTACATGCCCTAACGAGAATCCCGAGAAAGAAAACTTAGGCTAAAATGCAGGAATCTTATTTCCTTAGTCATTGCAAAGTTGTCTTTAGCACCTGGCAGTTCCTCACAACTTTGCCACATTCCTCTCAAGCTCCACTTTGAGGTCCATCCCACAAAATACTTAGGTCTTGCCATCCAAGTAATGCCATCTCCTTTCTTCTCCGTGTCCTGCAAGCCTACAGAGGCATTGATTGCGTCGTGTTTACAAAACCTTCCTCCATTACTTCCCACCCTGTCTTAACGAGGTGAGGACTGTGGCGGAGTGTCGGTATCTGCATAGCATAGAAGTATCTAGTGTAACCTCTATTATTCATATCGAAAGGATGGCAGTTGCATTCATCAGTTTGTGGTCTGTGTTTATTATTTCATGGCTTCACCAATTTTTCAATATTTTGCACTATGTATTAGGCATATCAAAAGAGGAATGAGTTGAGCTGACCAGTTTGTTGAAAGAATGATCAATAAGCAAGTTTGCTTCCTTGAGAGAATTGCTTCCCGTCATCCTTGAAGAGGTAGTAATGCATGTGGCTGGAAGTAGGATTATTGATGACTAGTAGAATGAAGGACAGTTGGAAGTTGATTCGTTACCGCACGTCTTCTGTCTTGTTTATTAATGCTCTGGGGAGTAGTACTGACACCGGTCGAGGGATATGGGGTTCTACTTTCTGAAAATTGCCACAAGATTTGTAATCGATGCACGGACAAGCATTAGGGCTAATAAAAGAGCTTCTTAAAAATTTAGTCTTCATTTAATTGTCGTCTTAAGTCTTCTAGTGACATTCAACCATCCGCGAGAAAGGGCAGCAACTTGTGTAATGACGTAGTATTATTGGCACTGTGTGGTGATTAAGAGGGAGTGGATTCGTTTGGAACAATGTTCTTAGAGTAAACCCTTCCCTTCTTCACATCGTGTTAAGTATTTTGATTTGCCTGAAAGTAAATTGAGGGAAAAGAGTGCCATACTCTTGGATTATGATATCAATTGATGCATCCACAACAATCCTGTAAACAAATCTTCGAGGCACGC